TATTTTGTAACTTCAAAGAGCTGTAACTTTTTTTGTGTAAATTTTTGTACCAAGGTAAGTTGGATTCAATAAATTTATTTTTATCCCCGGAATGCGTGATTTAATTTATGACATACCTTTTTGAAACACCCTGTATATATATTCACATATTTATATATATTTTAAGCCTACCTGTATATACAATATATAAAAAAAATATTTCGTAAGTTGTCTAAAATAGACACTTCTACCTGTACATGCCCGCCCAGTCATCAGTCATGACTAAGTATCTCGATCATAATGATGAAAAATAAACAATATTATCAATTCAGAACAAATTTATTTGCTTTTAATATTATAAACACCTGTTATCGCTTTTGAAATATTTATGTATTAATACCATTCAAATAACATTTTTTGTGCTCCTATTGATATATTGTCGCCTATTTCATCGAACGTTTTATTAATATTTGCGACGTAGTTTGTATACACTGCCTCCTAGTTTGTGTAAGGAATAATGTTTTTTTCTGTTACGTCTTTAGTACAAAACCTGAAGCGTTTTCTGGATTTTGTCTATTTAAACTGGTATGATAAAAATAACGATCAATTTCGATCTAGTAACTTCTTTTACTACACTTCTAACTCATAAGCTAGACCCATATTATTGGGGCGAGTCATTTTTGTTACTTTTTTGTGTATTATTAGCTTCTTCTTAGAATGCCGTCTCCCTACGGAGGTTGGAAATTATAATGGCTATTTCTATTTTAGAACTTGCTGCTCTAAACAAATCAATCGATCTACATTGATACCAGTCACGTAGATTCTTTAACCATGAGTTCTGTCTTCGGCCATCAGATCTTCTTCCTTGAATCTTTCCCTGTATTAAGAGTCTCAAAATTTTATATTTTGGTCATCACGTGGCCTAGGTATTCCAGTTTTCTGGTGTGTATAGTGGTGATTAGTTCTGTTTCTTTACCAACACTCTCCAGTACTTCTTTATTTGTAATTCTATCAGCCTTATTATTAGCTTACACTCTCCTAAAATTTCTTATTAGCTATTTTTTATTGATTTTCTGGCATTATTAAATATAGTTGTATTGCTTTTACCACTTTGATCTTGAAGTTCAACAATTGGATGCTATTATAGACAAAAACCAAGATTTATTTTTGTTGGACAACATATTAAACTGCTCTGTAACTATTGCCATGATGATTTAGCCATGATGATTTCCAACCTTCGATAAAAGATGGAACTTAAAGAAGAAGAAGTAACTATTCGTAATTTTGGACTTGTTTTTGGACTTATTATCATTGCTTATTGATTCTTTGCTATATTCTATTTTTCTTAATACTTTATATTACAATTATTAATAGAAGTTATAGTGTTCTACATACTTTTTTGGAGTTTATCAATTAGAAATACTCTGTATATGCCACTAAGTTCCGGGTAGTTTTGAAGAATATAACTTTAAGGTATCTAAATCCAAATATAACTTTTCAAAATCATTTCACTATGCAAAAATACTGTCATATTGTGATTAGCAACTCATATTTCTTCAATAGTCTACCTGTGGTGTTCCAACGTGTATTCTAATTTCTCTTTAATATTTTCTAACATCATACCATATATCTCGCAAATATCCTTCATGGTACTCTTTAGCTTTGATCCCATGGATATATCTGTTGTAAACTGGTCATACTTCAGCCAGTTGGCTTAGGGTACATCCTCGATTTATTCATAAGACCTTTTCCAGAATTCTGGAACCACATACCAGAACCAAAAAAGGTCTAGTGGATGGGTACCAAATGTTTTTAGAGCCACTTGGTACCCTCCAAAAAGTGTTAGCCGTCTAAGATCTAATATATCGCAGGCATGCAAGATATAGTTGACTGTTTTAGGTTCTCTGCGATAGAGTTTGCAGCTTAAGTCCCAACGAAACAGCTTTATTATATGCAGTTGTCAGTGGCAAGGCTATGTTCAGCTGGTTCCTCTTGGCATTCCCACATTGGCGTAGAGCCCGCCTTAGGGAACCCCTCTTAGCTTACGCTGAGTTTTCTTTGTTTTTTCCTAGTCCATTATTGTCCCACGAAAATCTAGAATTGCTAGCATCCCCAACAGAATCCCACATGTCGGAAAAACGTTAGAAAGCAGGGTCTCGTCTGGTACCCGAAATTGAGCTTTCGCTAGGTTTAACTCATCTCACGGAATTACTAGCCACCCTCTGAGCGAAAGGAAGAAATTAGTACAACGAAATAAGATCTATAAAACATCAACAAGAAAAAGACTCAAAAAAGAGATAATAATTCAGCTCAAAATGAATCTTAACCAATCAAAGAATCTGCAGAAGAAAATAAATAGGCAGAATCTGCAGAAGAAAATAAATAGAAAATATAGAACATGTTCAAGAAGCTGGAAAAGCTATTAGGAATTATAAAAGTAACCAAACCAGAGAATAAGCAGAAGAATGATAATGGGAGAGCGACCATTTAGCAGATTTTTATACACCATTAGAAACAAAAAAGCAGCTCTGAAATGAAGAACGAAGACATTCATTGTATGTTTTCTACGGTTCTCGCATATATGTCTTATGTATAGACATGTACCAAAAACAAATTTTTAACTCAAATGGTAGTGAAGAGGAAATTACTAGATATTATTGCGTGACAAAGAAAAATGAATGAAGCAAGAATAAAACCATAAACGCCATCGAACACGTTCCAAAACTAAAATGGAGGTGAGTTGGAAATAAATAAAAATATGAAGATGGCGGTTGGAACAGAGAGCTTAAATATTGCAAACTATTTACAACAACAGATCAGGAGGTCTACCCCAGATGAGATTGAACGTTGATTATAAGCAAACTGAGGGTCTAGTGCGGAAAAGACATACAAACGTTATTAATAATGAACCTGTCTTGCAAGTGGTATTATAGTCTTCTTCTCCTTATCTGGCCTCGTAACTTCCGGGGGAATCTTAGTGTCATCTACTATCTATCGCTTTCTGGGCGAGTGGAACTGGGCGGTTCATGTTGCCGTAATCGAGGACGTCCAAGAACAAGGTGGTCAGATGACATCAAGTTTATTCAGCACAACTGGATCCAGGGTTCATCATCAAAGCTATGCGTATTTTTGATGCTGCAGATCTAAACAGTTGGTAATTGGTGCAATTGTACCATTCTCTCAAGTTTTTTAACCATGAATGCCTTCTTCTTCCTATAGATCTCTTTCCCATTATCTTTCCCTATATAATCAATTGCAGCAACTGGTATTTATCTCCCCTCATAACATGTCCCAAATATTGTAGTTTGCGCTTTTTAACAGTAAGTATCAGCTTTTTCTCTTTCCGCACTCTCCGCAAAACCTCCACATTTGTTACTTTCTCTGTCCAGGGTATTCTTAATATTCTACGATACATCCACAACTCAAATGCTTCTATCTTTTTGGTATCGATCTTTTTCAATGTCCATGTTTCCATCCCGTAGAGGAGAACTGACATAACGTAACATTTCAAAAGGCGAATTTTAAGTTTTAGACTTAGATCTCTTCCGCAGAACACCTTTTTCAATTTAGTAAATGTGGCTCTAGCTTTCTCTATTCTGGTTCTGATTTCTTCAGAGCAATCCTTATTTTCGTTGATAACAGTTCCCAGGTAATTATATCTTCTTACACGTTCGATTCTTTGATCATGCACGGTTATGTCAGGGAAGTTTTGTGGTAATTTAGATATTAGCATTATTTTTGCTTTGCTTATGTTAAGTGATAATCCGTGTTCTTCACTGCATTCTACTATTTTGTTAATTAGTATTTGAAGATCTTCCCAAGTTTCTGCGATTAGTACCGTGTCATCGGCATATCTCAAGTTGTTTATTCGGATGCCATTTATCTTAATACCTATATTTTGATCCGAAAGTGCTGTGTTTAAAATGTCTTCGGAGTATAGATTGAATAAGGTCGGTGAGAGTATACAACTCTGTCTTACGCCTTTCTTGATCTCGATTTCCTCCGTTGTCTCTTGCTCTATTCGGATATTTGCTTTCTGGTTATAGTAAATCTTAGAGATAATTCTAATGTCCCTTTTATCCAAGTTTTTTTCTACTAGCAGTTTCATTAAGTGATCGTGACGAACTTTATCAAACGCTTTGTTGTAATCAATAAAGCACATATATATATATATATATATATATATATATATATATATATATATATCTTGGTTTATATCTAGACATCTTTGGCATATGACGTTAAGTGCAAATAGTGCTTCTCTTGTTCCAAGCCCGTTCCGAAATCCGAATTGATTTAATTATTTAAGGGAGGCCTATGTCCAGCAGTGGACTCAAAACGGCTGATGATGATGTGTTTTTTAAGCGGTGTTTCAGAGTGCAAAAGCTTAATTTTTTTATTTATATTTTATTTGTTATTTACAAATATTTGTTAATTATTTTACATTTTTTTGTTAAATAATTTTGTTCATAGTATCTAATTTTCTACGATATGTTGTAAATAACCTTTTAAAACATTGAGTTAGAGATTTAAATAGAGCGCCCCTAAATCCAGCAGTAATTTTTTAACACTTGAGAGCCAACTCTAAGTCGATTATAATTCTACTGGCCTACGAGGAGCATTAGTTGTTGTCAGGGTCCGAACGCTAACATATGGGGGTGTGAGGGTGCATGCATTACTACTGACTATATCTACTCTGGCCAGTGGGCATTCTGTCAGTCAATTTCGAGCTATACCCGAATAGCGACCTATTCAAAAGTATACCCGCTACTCCCGAAAAATGCTAATGACCAGCTTGGTGGTTATGTTCTTACCGATAATTTTAGTCAGTGCCATCCTATATTTCTTGATAATACGCGGGATGTTGGTAATAATATAAATAAGTATGTAATAAAAAAAGGTGGGATTTAACATGTGATGTGATGTTTGAATAAACACCTTATCAATTTGAAGAAAGCTTTAATTATCTATCTGTATTATCGATACATACATATAGTGAATGGAATAAATTTTAAATATTCAGTTATACTAATATCTTACAATATGACATCTCTTTTATCAGCGCTAAATAGTAATAGTAGTATGCCGCATAGAAATTATTATAATTATACGAACTTTGATACAAATCCACCCCACTTCATGCCATCTTATTTAAGTAAGTATACTTTATATATTATGCATTTTGCTAGACGATAAATATTTGTTTAAAGTGATCCACAACATGTATATTATCTCTTTATAGATTTCTAATTATAAGACCCAAAAATATTTTTATTTCATTTGTATTGTATATATATATATATATATATATATTATATATATATATATATATATATATATATATTATTGGTATTCATTTTGGTTTTTGTTATTACTATAGGTATATAATTTAGGAAACCGGTGATTTTCTTTTTTCTTCTACAAAAATAAAAAGTTAAAAAAATAATTTGTTTTTCAAATGTATAAACTTTCTTATTATTATTGTTACTTTGTTAAAATGTTTTAATTACGATTTAAGATTTTTTGGTTGTTTTAAAATGTATGGTGATGGTTTTCAGGTAACATATAGAAAACTAGTTATTTTTCTTTCAGTTGCTATACATTTTTCCTTTTCATAATTGTCTTTAAATTGTAGTATATTTTCATTCTTTTGTATTCTATTCTATTTTATCTAGTCTATCTATTCTATTTTATTTATGTATCTATTCTATTCTATTCTATTCTATTGTATTCTATTTTATTTTAGCATAGCTCACCGAATGTGAACACTTGCTATATCTTTTCGTTGAAGAACCTTTACTATTCAAATAGGTTTCTTATTTTTGAATAATTGATGGATTCGACCGTTACTTGATGGAAATTCATTTTATGTAACAATAAAACACTGAAAACTTTGTATTCAAACTTCCACAAAATTTATTTTAAATCTTATCACTACAGCTGTTTCGGCTGATTGCCTTTCTCAAGTGATCTATTTTTGGCTTGGGTTTACAAATTTATAGCCTCTGATGAAATAGGTTGAGGAGGGGAGAACTGTTTGTCTCAAGTTGGTCATTCAGAAATTTATCTGTATTTTTTAATTTGTTGATTTCCATAGATTCTAACAAAGATAGCTTAAGACCTTTATTTTGAATGTGAAGAATTTTAAATTTGTCATTAAAAGAATGATTATGATCTAGAAGGTGAAGTGCGTATGTCTAATCTGTTTTTCTATTCTTGAAAGACGTTTTATGTTCTGCTATTCGTTTATCAAAGTTTCTACCAGTTTGACCGATGTAAATTTTTGGGCAGTCGCCAGATTGAAGTTTGTACACACCACTATTCAAGTGTTTTTTATTTGGCTCTTGTTACTTTTAATATATTTGCCTAGGTTGTTATTTGTTCGTTAAGCTGGTGTTATTCCTTTCTTTTTCATGTGTTTGGCAATTTTTGTTGTTATTTTGCCTGTATATGTAATCGAGCAGAAGGTACTGGGTTTTTTCTCTGGTGGTGGAAATACTAATTTTAGGGCTTTCTTGTGTAGTTTTTAATTTAATATTTTATTAATTGTTTGTTCGTTGTATCCGTTGTTTACTGCTATTTGCTTAATTATATTTAATTCTGTCTCAAAGTTGTATGTTGACATCGGAATTTCTGTTAATCTATGTAACATACTATGATAAGCTGCCAGTTTATGTTGTGTTGGATGGAATGATGAATTGTGTATAGTCGTGTCCGTATGGGTAGGTTTATGAAATATGGAGAAGTCATGTTTGTTTTGAAGTCTGCTAATTTTTAAATCTAAAAAATTTATGGATTGATTTTCTGTTCTGTTTCTATTGTAAATTCAATATAACTATGAAGTGAATTAATATACGATAAAAATTCAAAATCAATACTAAATCCAATAGAACAGAAATACCTCAATATTATGAACCCACAGCCTCCTAAATTATACTCTTTCATTGAACTACACAAACCGGATCACCCAATAAGAACTGTAGTTTCTTTTTATACAGCTCCGTCATATAAAATTTCAAAAAAACTGTTAGAGATTATTTTAGAACACACTAATTTTTCACCTAAATTTACCATAAAAAATACAATAGAACTAGTTAATAAAATACAACATTTTCAATTACCTAACAACTCCAGATTAATTTCATTTGACGTAAAAAATCTTTTTCCTAGTATCTCTCCAACAGAAACTTTTATTCTACTAAAAAACCTTTTTGACCAAAATAGTACAAATCCAATAATTACATCTGAAATTGTACATCTTCTTGAAGTTTGCATAAACCAGGACTACTTTGAATTTACAATAGAAACAGAACAAAATCAATCCATAAATTTTTTAGATTTAAAAATTAGCAGACTTCAAAACAAACATGACTTCTCCATACTTAATAAACCTACCCATACGGACACGACTATACACAATTCGTCATCCCATCCAACACAACATAAACTGACAGCTTATCATAGTATGTTACATAGATTACAATTAATAAAATATAACATGTAACATACAATTAATAAAATGTTAAATCAAAAACTACACAAGAAAGCCCTGAAATTAGTATTTCCACCACCAGAGAAAAAACCCAGTACCTTCTGCTCGATTACATATACAGACAAAATAACAACAAAAATTGCCAAACACATAAAAAAGAAAGGAATAACACCAGCTTTCCGAACAAATAACAACCTAGGCAACCAAAATAAAAAACACTTAAATAGTGGTGTGTACAAACTTCAATGTGGCGACTGCCCAAAAACTTACATCGGTCAAACTGGTAGAAACTTTGATAAACGAATAGCAGAACATAAAAGGGCTTTCAAGAATAGAAAAACAGATTCGACATACGCACTTCACTTTCTAGATCATAATAATTCTTTGAATGACAAATTTAAAATTCTTCACATTCAAAATAAAGGCCTTAAGCTATCTTTGTTAGAATCTATGGAAATCAACAAATTAAAAAACACATATATAATTCTGAATGACCAACTTGTGACAAACAGTTCTCCCCTTCTCAACCTATTTCATTAGAGACTATAAATTTGTAAACGCATGCCACAAATAGATCACTTGAGAAAGGCAATCAGCCGAAACAGCTGTAGTGATAAAATTTAAAATAAATTTTGTGGAATTTTGAAAACAAAGTTTTTAGTGTTTGATTGTTACATTCTAATTTTTGGTTCATCGTTCATACATAATATATTTTTCTTAATATCTGTACAATCTGTACCTAATATTTGTTGTCTTCTTTCATGTATTTCCTTCTTATTACGGATTTTTCATTACTGACTTCTGACTTACCATTATGTGTATCAATATCATCCAGCTTCCTATGTTCACTAGTGTTTTTAAACAACTCTAAGCATATTTTTTACTTTCATTTAGTCTTCTAACTTTTCTTAATACATGTTCTTCTTATTCTTCTTCTTCTTCAAGTGCCATCCCCACGATGTCCCCCCCGTATCTTCCTCCTTTCTTATTCCTTATTCTTCTATGTTTACAATAAACATAACTGTAACCTATTCTTTTATATTTGGTGGGAATTTTCCAATGTATGTTGTGGTTTTCTTGGAATTCCAGTAATATCAAAGTATCATATGTATCAGTGTAAGTTAATGTATTATTTTTGTGATCACTTGTAACCCTTTATATTGCTTTTATTGGTCTGCCTTTGCCACACGTTTTTTCTTAGAGAATATTCGACGTCATTTTTTTGCAGTTTCAATATTGTATTCAATATATTGCATCCTCTGTAACGCATCTTGATAGACTGCTACAGATCATACCATCGTCATGCCGTCGTCATAACACACATTAATATACATAATAATTAGGGGCAACCAATTTTCCATATACAAATTATTTCTTTTATAAATTTCATCTTCTTGTCAATGTTTTGCTATTATCAAAGCTTTCGAAACTTTAAAACTATTACTTCAATTAGTCATACTTTAGTTTGTACTGTTTTTACCCTCATTTTCCTTGCTTATTTCTCCAGTTTATTACTTTTTCCATAGAATCAACTTTTTTTGAAAAAAAAGTTTTTTTCAGATGAAAAGTTTACGATTTACGAATAATTCAATAAAATTTATGAATTCCACTGACCGGTTACTATGGAATTTCTATTTTTCGAGCTTAGTCTTCAAAACCTAAAACATGAAATTTTGATATTGAGTTTTGGCAATAAATATGAGGCATTTGAAATATTCCGAAAAAAAAACGCTGAATTTAAACTTTCACATTACAAAGGATCTCACGTCACAAGAAATGCTTCACGAAGACGGTGTTAAGTGTTAAGAAATGTGTAGCTGAAGTTGTATAATTTTGAAAAACGTACATGTGCTATCAAAAAAAATAGTTTTAAATGCTTTCGATCGTTTTTAATGTGAAAGTTTAAATTCAGCGTTTTTAGGCATTATTCAAATGCCTCATATTTGTTGCTTACACTTAAAATCGAAATTTCCTCCTATAGGTTTTGAATATTAGCCTCTAATAATGGAAATTCCATATTGAACGTTCTATGGAAATGATAAATTTTATTTATCTTATGAGAATCGTAAAAAATGGCAAAAATGGTGCTTAATAAAGTTTAAATGTTTAACAGCTTTATAGAAAGTGACTTCCTTTGTGGCAAAATACAAAATTTTTGTACAAAAGCTGCACACCTTTAAAACACATTTTGAATTTTGTCGACAGGACACTCTGATCAAAAGATATCGAATTTTTACCATCAAGTTCATACAAATTGTATTTAAATAAATAATTTTGGGGCGCGTAAATAACATACAAAATCGCCGGTCACTTCAAGCGTTATTTCTGAGAGAACACTTTATTCTCAGCTACATTTATTATACGAAAGTTTTTTTTTTAGTTTTTTTTAATCTTCTTAGGGTCACAAAATTGATCATCTAAGTAAAATTTAGCTTGTTCGTGTGATTTTTAAAGGTTTAGTGAGATTTTCGTCTCCCTACGTCTTCTTCCTACGCTTCTTCTACCTTTGATTTTACCCTGCATTATATTCCTTAGTAGTTCGTACTTTTCACCTCTCATGATGTGCCCCAAGTATTCCAATTTCCTGATCTTTATGGAATTTAAAACTTCGCATTGTTTTCCTAGTTGTTCGAGAACTTGTTCGTTTGTTTTGCGATCCATCC